GCCCGTTCTGCTTCACTGATGGTGTTTTAATTTTGCAACCAGAACGGCCCGTTCCGGTTTCAGAACGGGCCGTTCCGGTCCAGGTGTTTTCAAGAAAAATTCTCATCCACGTGGATGCCACGTATGCATCTACGTGGCATCCACGTGGCTAAAAGTTAACTCCGTTTAAATAATTTAGACGGAAGTCCCACATTGAAACCAATTAATTAATTTGGGACTAAATTGATACCAATTAATTAGTTTGGGACAAAATTGAGACCTAAAATAAAAGTTGGATTACATTGAAACAAAAAAAAGATTATAAGGGACCAAAATATGTTTTAACCTAAATCTTTAATGCAGTAAAATATCATATTATTTTTATTTACTTATTTAATCAAGTAAAAATGTTAAATTCTTAAATTATATTTATAAATATTTATGACAAACTAAACAAATTTTTATAATTCTTAAGAATCATAATCATAAAATGATTCTTATACATGAAAAAATTTATTAGCAAAAACTTTCTAAGTGATGAGTTTAGACATATAGATCAGCAAAATGGTAGAAATGTATTTTTCTAATTGATTTAATAATTTATGCCTTCCCCAAACAACATTGTTTATTTTTGCTGCCTAAAACTAGAAGCTCAAATTTAACATCCCTTTGTACTAACTGTACTTGAATTCAATTCGATCGTAACCACCTGATTCAGTTTTTGAATTTATCGTAGGTAACAGGCATTGTGACAGGTTTTGTGCTTGTGTGGTTTCCTGCACCCACTGTTTCTCTCAAACCTCCTCTGGGAGTTAGTGCTGGACCCATTGCTAAATTATTCTACGGTTGTCCTGATAATGCCTTTCAGGTTAACAATCTTTAGCTTTATGCTGTATGCTTTAATTTTAGTTATAGGGAATATGATTAAAAGTTGATATATGACCACAACAGGTGGCTTTACCTGGAACATCCTATACCCTTCTACAAAGAATAGGTGCTATAGTGGTATGTGTTGGATCATTTAAAGCAAGTCACATTTTTTCCCTTATGAATGAGGATCATTTCCATTTTCATCTCTATCTCTCGTGCAGCGTAATGGCGCAAAGCTATTTGTTGTTGGCACCGGTGCTTCATTGGTAAACTATCAGTTATCACATTATTTGTTTTGCATGAATTAAACATTGGTAAATCCTTTTGCTTCATTTGTTATACACTTATTTTCAGGTTGGTATAAGTATAACAAATGCATTGATCAGTGTACAGAAGGCTGTGAATAAAACATTTGCAACTGAGGCCGAGAATTTACCTGTAGTATCAATCAGTGTAGCATACGGAGTTTACATGGTTGTAATTAGCAACCTCAGGTACCAAGTACTTGCAGGAATCATTGAGCAACGGATTCTAGAACCATTACTACACCAAAACAGGCTCTTACTAACCGCAGCATACTTTACTGTTAGAACTGCCAATACCTACTGGGGCTCGCTACTGTAAGATTAATTATTCATGTGCCTCAAATAATCTTCATGCATGTTATTGTTCACCAAAGGCATAAACCATTCCTCATTGTTTAATTTGTTACACATTTGTGACTAGGTGGGTGGATTTTGCTCGAGAGGTTGGAGTCCAGAAGATAAAGGATTAAGCATTTCTTTTGCATCAACATCAATTCAATTGGTCAAAACTTAAGTATGTTAATGTTATTATTGGTTCATTCATACAACTCCAAAAGCTTGGTCATTAAATTTGTTCTTTCTCTAAGGAAAATTGTACATCTGTCAGTAGCCAACATCAGCAAGTAAATCTACACCTTGTCTAGTTGACCAAAACATATGGCAATACACGTGGTCAACTAAATACATGATCTATATATGTATCATGACTAGCACAACTAGCCTCGTGAATTTGAGTCTCTTCATTTTATACAATTGGCACTTATTTTCAATTGTTTGTTTACTATTATGCGCACTGAAATCATATTGAATGAAAACTAATTTGTGGATCCTTAGTTTTTTTTTTCAGCAAAAAAGTATTATATTGTTAAGTGTAATTAATGACGTGACAAATTATTACACTTAATATAGTTGAGCTACTATTCAACAAAAAACATGAGCAACTACTAGCCTAGGGTTATTATGCAACCAGTACCTGAATATTCTTGCAACATTCATTAAATAATAACATTAAAATTCATTAAATATTATTAGCCTAGTACTACCGTCAAGAAAAGAACAACTTGGGTATTAACCTATTATGACATTAACATTCATTAAATAAGCCTATATGGAATTAGGCTGCTGACTATTATCTAAATATTGCATACCTTTTCAAAACTCGGCTAGGGATTATGGCCTCTAACTTGGTGCCTTACTCATTGTCCACTTTCGATAAGTATGATTCGGCCTCCACCATACTATATCAACTTAAAATCATAGAGGAGACAATGTTAAAAATAACTTTCCAACCAGGAGGTAACTTACTCACCGAATGGTTTCAATTTCAGCCTTTTAGAGCACCATAATTTATATTCACACAATAGGATATTTTATTTTCTAAAATAATTTTTCTCTCCTCTAGATTTTTATGCAACTTTCAACTTAAAAACATGCATCACATTATCACGTCTTATATGTCTTCTACATTCATCTTCAGCTTTAAAACAACATACTACATTAAACTTAAACAACAAACATTTCAACTTTATTAAATATCATCACACATCCTTATCATATATCATCATATTATGAAAAAGATTCAACTATCATCAACATATATCCACAAAACATGTAAAGATACATAAAAGAATAAGTTTCTCCAAAATAGGGGTTTTCATTGAATGATTAAAGCTTTTTGGAACTTGTCGCTAGGTAGGCTACTCTTACTCAACTAGAAAAAACCCATGGCCTTCCTCACTAGGCAGGCTCTAGATTGTTGGGTGACCAAACTCTTTTGGAGCTTATCACTGGGTGACCAAAAACTTGTTAAGTGAACATATCTTCTTATGGATCCTCTTGTGCGGTGAACATGATGGAGGACCATTGACCAAGGGTCCAAATACTAGAGCTATGCTTAGGAGGATGGAGGAAGAGTGGGCTAACACATATGAGGTACAACCCAAGACACTTTTTAGTTGGGTTATGCCTTGACACCCATGTAGGTTAGGGTTTGGCCCATTAAGGCTTGTATTTGTTTTGTAGGCCTTGTATTATGGCCATGTAGCTTAGGATCTATTTTTTTGGGCCATGTATTTTCGGCCACATAGATGTTAGGAGTTTCATGTACATGTGAGTTTACATTTCATGTGATTTAGATCTCATTTAGAGTGAATTTGGCACCATGTGACCAGCCATGTGGGAGGCGCACATGGCATGACCGAAATTCACTTCAAATGTGAACTAAATCACATTAAAATGTAAACACCACATGTAAGCACATGAGGAGTTCCATATTTTGGGGCTTGGCACCAAATTTGAATTTTCAAATTCCAATTTGGCGATTAAGGTTTAAACTAACCATACCATGGTTTAGTTTAAACCTTAGGTTAACCTAGCTTCCTTGGTACTCTTCCTAGGCTTGTATATATCCTTTGGCCGTGTAGTTTCATTCACTTTGAGCATTTATGAGAAATTCATTCTTCAGATTTCTCTCCTAGTCAAAGTTACTTTTGAGAGTATTTCTTCAAATTGCCTTGAAATTTCCTCTTTGTAGCTTTACGCGTGAGCTACTTCTAACTGAGGAGATTGGTTCATTCTTGGACAATTCTTCTTCACTTGTTTGATTCGGATCTACCTTGAAAAAGCTACAAGGAATCAAGAGAAGATTGAAGGATTGCGATTTGGAGTTCAATTAATGCAACTCAGACTTCATCAAGTGGTATCATGAGCTTGGTTATACAAAGATAAGTTCACTAATTATTTTCGATGAATCTATCTTGTTTGTTCATGATCTCGCTTCACATGTCTTGAGTATATTGTTGTCTAGATCTAATTCTTAATACATCAATTGATAGATCTAGTTTTTGGATTGTTTATAATGATTCATATATGTTCATTGATTTGCATTTGCTTCATATGAATCATGCTTGAAATTGTGTTTTAGGATCCATACCTTGTGCGTTTTAATTTTTTTGAGTCTAGATTGATTTTTAAATTTTTTGGCCATATGCAACATTTTTTTTAGTCATTTTAAGTTTTTGAATGTATCCAAAGTTGTCTAGAGTTTGTGTTTACTCCTTTACATGTCAAGAATCTCCAAGTAGTGCTTGTTTGATCCAAAAACTACATGTTGAATGCTTATAACTCTATTTTGGCCAAATCAATTTGTACTTTGGTGCTTTTAATTTTGATGAATTTTAGTTCATAAACTACTATTAAATTATTGTCGAATCCCGGCCTAAAAAATTGTTTTTTTAGATGGCTTGTTCTACTTTCGTTTTAAAATTCTCATCGATATCAAAATGCCCGATAACTAGACTAATCCTCTGTCAATGGTTTTGAAAAGGTTCATGGAGTCGTCACTGATATTTTGCCCAAAACATCAAAAAAAGAAAAGGTTTTCGTAATCAAAGTTGGATACGGGGTCAACTACATGTGATGAAAGTGTTAAGCACCCCAAAATGCCTAAAATTAGTACCCTATGATGTATTTGTTAACAAAATAAAGCGGAGATTAATATTTTTTACCCCATAACTACGCATATATAGTAATGAACTATCTACATTATGCTCTATTTTAAGGAAAGCAATAAATTAAAGAAAAAAATAGAAAGAGAGAGAAATTTCAGAACCTTCGAGGCAAGCTTTTATAGAAGAAGATTGAAGGTGCTTTGCAACGACCTTCTCGCTCTACCAAAAACCTCTTAGATACTCAAGGACAAAATTTTTAACTAGAAACTTTGAAATCTCTGCCAAAAGGATTAGAGATCTCTCAATCAGACTCTCAATGAGTATTTTTACTCGGAGTGCTCTGAAGGGAGTCAAAGGGGAAAGAGAGAATCTAGTCCTCTAGAATGGGGGAGGCTGACACTCTTAAATAGGTTATGAGGCGTGGAATGACCGTTCTCATTTTGGAACGACCGTTCTCAGCCTCAAAAATACATTGTGAACAATAGCTTGGAATGGCTGATCCTATGCTCAGAATGGTCATTCTAGCTTGGCACGAGAACGATCGTTCTTGTGCCAAGCTAGAATGACCGTTTTGAGCACGGGATCAGCCATGAGATCGACCGTTCTTAAGCCATTTCGCTTGGTTTTTGGTTTTTTGACCCCAAAGTGTCTTCTTGAAGCTTCCTGGTCCATCGTGACGCATTTCAAAGTCTTTTAATGTCTTTCGCGGGTCACTGCTCTTGCTTTAGAAGCTTCCCGTTTTTAAATTTACATCTCGGACGAAAAATGGTGTCTATAACTACCCTTCTTTACTAGTGTCTTTGAAGGCTAAGTATTTTGTGCAGCCTCTCCATGCTAGGTGTAGATGTTGTAGCACGGCAAGATCTACTAATGTCTTGCAGCTTGAGCAATTAAGTTCATCTTTATTGAGCTTCTCCAAGCTCATTGGGGATGTTGAGTATTTCTATGCGGCCTCTCCAGGCCTACAAAGTTGAATATTTCTAAGAGGCCTCTCTAGGCCTACAAATGGTTATGCTTTACCACAATGCCTTTTGTATTTTAGGTTGGAAAGTCCAACAAGGAGAATGATTTAAGAGTTGCCCCATGTTGGGAAAAAATCTAGCTGAGAAGGATCCCACTAGGGATGGAATGCTTTTCATAAGCTTTGTTGAGTTGAGGAGTGATCAAATGATGCTAAAAATGCCTCTTGAACTTAGGCATAGATGTTTAACAAAGATGATGAGTTGAGGATTGCCCCTTTGTGTTGGGTGAAAATTCGAGTTATAACTTCTTTGGGGGATAAATTGCCTTTCTAAGCTTTATTGGGCAATTAAGTGTATCTTCATGGGACTTTTCAGGCTTTGTCGAAGAGTTATCAAACTATGTTAATGTCGTCTTTGCAATATCTTGTAGCTAGGCTTGGAATGCTGAGGAGATTCAAAGGCACTCCAAATGCTCCTAATGTCGGCTTTCCTGCCTCTTGATAAGTGGTTATCCAACAAGGATCATGTAACTTTGAAATGCAAGTATTATTGATGAAGTTTCTTTAGGCTTGGTTCCCATTGGGGATGCTTTCGACGCTCGAGTATTATTTGCCTAAAGCCTCTTCATGCTTGGTATGGGCTATTGAGGAGATGATGACCCTTGTTATCGACAAACGATGTCAGATACTTGACAAACAATGTCACTAGGGAAATGATTACCTGTTGTTTGGGAAGACGACAAACAATGTCGAATGCTTGACGAACAATGTCATCGGGGATATGTTTTGGGGGAATCTAATTGCCCCAAGTGCTTGTTGTGTTGGCCTCTTACTAGCCAATTACCCGACTAGGGATTATCATGTTGAAAAGTACCTTGATCTTCCCTTTGGCTTACTTATTCCTCCAGGGAGACGTTTCTGGTGTTGTGCCACTGAGAGAAGGCTATGCTTTAGCCATACTTGTTGGGAGGTGGCCCTGATTGTCTAGTAGCCTTCTTGGTTGATCTAACTTTACTTTCCTATGGAATGAGGGCAATCTATGCCCCTATTTTTAGATCTATGCTATTCGATAGCCTGGTCGGCGGTTTAGCTTCGTACGACTTTGGGGTTTTGTTGTTGATTATTGTTTCTCTAATGGGGAAATGAATTTTATTTTCTAAGCTTTGGCTTTTTCTACATGATGAAGCTTAGCCTTTTATTATATATTTTTGTCTTTTTCTTAATTGATTTATTTTTGGCTTTGCTTGCTAAATGAAAGACAAATATTGAAAAAGAAAACTAGCATTTCAAAAAGTTGCATACATGATGTGGAAAGTTCAATCAGAACAAAGGAAAACTATATGGAAGCAAAAGAAAGCAA